CCCGTCCGCCAGCACAAATTGCACAGCAGATGAAAGCTGTCCCAGACGCGAGGCCCACCATACTTGACCATTTCAGCAGTAACTCTGTCTAGTCCCGCAGCTTTACCACATTTCAAACTTCGAATCGCACGTTCAATCTCTTTCATACTGATGACCTCAGTGTCATCGAGGTCCGTGTCTGGCGTACCAGTCACGGCGTCATCCCCGTATCCCTCACTAAGATCATCACACGCATACATTTCTCTATAAAATTCGCTCCATCGCTGCATGACGTCCGATTTTTCTGAAAGGACGTCATTAGTTCTCGAAAGCACTTTGTTCATTCTCAAGGCCGTCGCACCACTTCGGGTCCTTCCCACCTCTTTCCAGAAGAGTTTGGAGTTCTCCTTAAAGTTGTGCGACAACCTTTCGTTTGCTTCCATTCTACACCTTTCACGCACTTCCTCAATCAGTGCTTTCGTGTGAACTTTCTGCAGCCTATACCTTTCTTTCATCTTCTCTCTCATATCCTTATTATTACTAGAGGCCAAGTAGTCTAACCATGCTTTCTTCTTCTTCTTTACAGCTTCTTTCACTTCATCATTCCACCATGCATCTCTTCTTTTACTACTGCCTCTTTTTATTGTTCCACACACTTCTTCTGCTGCACTTACCATTCCATCCCTAAGGTTCTGCCATGTTTTTTCTACACATTCGTACAAGAGTTTATGTGTAGTATTTTCTAGGGTAATTTTTGGTGTATAATTGTAGTAAGGAGTGTTCGTATTTTTAATGAGTGCGTGTTTGAGTGCTAGTTTTTGGTGAATGATATTGGCCACCTGGTTGTGCCTGTGGGTGTAGTCAGTCTGCGTCAGAGTTGTGCATGCGCCTGTTATGTGTTGGATGGTTTCTGGGTGAATGTGGCATTTGCGACATTTGTCATTAATTACTGTAGGATCTTTTATTATGTATTTCCTGTAGTTTTTTGTGTTTATGATTTGGTCTTGAATAACTATTATAAATCCTTCGGTTTCCGGAAATAAGTTGCCTATTTTCAGCCATTTATTTGAAGCTAACTTATTTATGTGTGGTTGCTCCAAGTCATGAGGGTGCCGACCGTGGAGTACTTTCCTCTTCCAATCCTCAATTTTTTGTGTCTGCTGGTTATCAATGGTAGTGTTTTGGGTTTCTATTTGATTGCTAAGGTTAAGTGGAGTGTAGTTAATATCATTTGTTACTATGGCTTTATGTATATTACTAGTGTGAGACTTTGTGTAGAAGAACGATTTTAGTCGTTCAACTTGTTTCTGCCTTAGGTGCTAAATATCTATTAGACCTCTCCCTCCAAGTTCCCGTTTTATGGTTAATCTTTCTATGGCGGACTTAGGGTGCAGGTTGTTATGTTTCGTAAGTGTTGTTCGTGTAGTACGTTCTAATTGTTCTGTGTCAGTTTTGGACCATTTTATAACCCTGAATGAGTACGTTAATACGGGAATGGCGAAGGTGTTTATGGCTTTGATGAGATGTTTACATTTTATTTCATTTTTTTTTGCGGATGGAAAATCATCAAATGACGCCTTTCGCTCTGGGTGGAGCGGAAGGGAGTGTCAGACTTTTACTGACTAAAAACCATCCGTGTTCCTTCAGTGCCCTTACGTTCCGGAGCCGCGGTATCTCTTTCGAACAGCCCGCAGCCCCGGCAGGCGTCGGCCCTTGCGGGCCCCTTCACGCTGCTGACAGCTCTTTGAGGCGCGCGTGGAACAAAACGCGCCGTCGACACGGCCTGTCGTCGTTAGACGGGCGGACGGCGAGCTACCCATTGCTCGCCGTCCACAGGCCCGCGCCTACGGTGGCCGGGGGCCACGACGTAGCCCCCGACGCCCGGGGCTTCTCCCGCGGCGGCCGGGAAGGAAAGCTGTTGCTCTCTCCTTCTCCCGCTCCGCCACCTCCTTCGCTAGCATCACTGCTTCGCAGAAGGTGGTGACGGCATCCCATTCCGTCTCGCTCCGGACCATGGCTTCGACCAGGGCCGGACGCGAGAGGTCGCCGCCGCCTATCGCCGCTACGAGGACACGGCGTTGCTCCGCCCAGGCAGGGCACACCTCCACGGTGTGCTCCACCGTGTCCTCCGGTCGATCCTCGCAGTGGGAGCACCCGGGCGTTTCCTCCCGCCCGATTCGTTGCAGGAACCTCCCGAACACACCGTGTCCGGTGAGGACCTGCGTCAGGCGGAAGGTGAGGACGCCGTGGCGTCTCTCAAGCCACTCCTCAAAGAGGGGTCTTATCGCCGCTATAGTGGCGTGCCCAGCACGGGGTTGCGACAGTCGCTCTCTCCATGTCGCCATGAGATCATGCCGGAAGTCTGTCCGCTGCACGACAACTTGCCGCGGCAGCGGGGTTTCCCCCCGGCATAGTGCCTCAGCGCGCCATTCGTGCAGGCGCGCGAGGACTATCGCCTCCAGATCCCATGGCGGCAATCCGGCAAGGAGGCACGCTGCCTCGCGGGAGATCGTGCGGTAGCCGCGAACCATCCTTACGGCAACCACCTTTTGGGGCGCGTTCAGGTGGTGGACGGCAAGCCGCGCCAAACCACGCGCCCACACCGGGGCCCCGTAAAGGGCCATGGACCGCACAATCCCCGCGTAGAGCCTCCGGCAGGAGGCGTTTGGCCCCCCCAGGTTCGGCAGGAGCCGCCTGAAGGCAGCCCCGGTCCGTTCCAGTTTGGGAGCCAAACGTCGGAAGTGCTCAACGAAGTTCCATCGGCCGTCGAGGACGAGTCCTCGGTACTTCAACGTCGACTCGACGCCGATGGATACCCCTCCTACCATCGCTGAGGATCCCGGTGGTGGCCTGTTCCGAGGACCATGGAAGTGCATGGCCTCGGACTTGTGCAGAGCCACCTCAAGACCCAGCTGCCGGATCCTCTCAACGACTATCGCAACCCCGCGTGTCATGTTTTCCGCCGCCGCCTCGTACGACCCCCCCTGTGCCAGTACCAGCGTGTCGTCAGCGTAGCAAACTACGCTGACGCCGGTAGGGAGGTCGGCGCGCAGCACCCAGTCGTAACCGATGTTCCACAGGGGCGGCCCCAGAACCGAACCCTGTGGGACACCGCACGACATCTCTCGCCGGTTCCACTCACCGTTGCGACCGGGGTAGATGACGGCCCTATCCGTCAGATAGTCCCCGACTATACGACGGAGATAGGTCGGCACCCGGTGATACCGGAGTGCCTCCCTAATGCAGCTCCAGGGCATGGAGTTGAAGGCGTTGGCGATGTCGAGAGACACCGCCAAAACAACCCCCCCCCCTGGCCACTGCATCCCCCGTCGTGAGGGCTCTCACGCGCATGATGTCGTCCACCGTAGAGCGCCTCTTGCGGAAACCAAACTGGTGTTCCGCAAGATCCGGCCCCGTCCTCGCAAGGTGCTCGGCGAGGCGGTTTGCAATGACTCTTTCAAAGAGCTTGCCCACCTCGTCGAGCAGCACCACGGGCCGGTATGCGGACGGAGAGTCCGCAGGGCGCCCCGGCTTCCGAATGAGGACCAGCTTCCCCGTCTTCCAACGAAGCGGGAATTGGCCTCTCTCCAAGCATGCGCTTAGGAGCCCCTCCAGTCGGGGCCCGAGAGCCTCCGAGGCCAGGACCCAGGCTTTGCCAGGCAAGCCATCGGGTCCTGGGGCGGTATTCCTGGCCTTGAGCCTACGTACCGCCACTCTCAGGTCTACCCCGGTCCCTTCCGGGATGCCGTCGTCGTCGTCCTGGTGGTCCGCTTCCGGCACCGCAGGTGGCGGAGCCATAGGCGGGGGTGGATGTTCCCCTCGCGCAGGAAACAGAGCGCTCACCACGTCCTCCACGAGCTGAGGCCGGAGACTCTGCGTCAGCGGGGGGGCCCAGGTGCGGAGTTTATCCCGCACCATCTTGTAAGGGCGCCCCCACGGATCTCTGTCGAGAGTCTCCAGCATCTCCTCACGGGCCCGATCCCGGGCCCGCATGACAGCCTCCCGGAGGGCGGTCTTCGCCGCTCTGTATCCCTCGTACAGCTCCGCCTCAATGGATGCCGCATTCGGTGGACGAATGCGGAGCCTGCGATGCCTGGCGTACAGGTGTCGCGCGGCGACACACGCCTCGCGCAGAGACGTCAGCTCACGCGACCACCAATACACCTGACGCCGAGCGCTTCCTGGCCGGACGCGGGGCATTGCCACGTCACATATCTCGGACATGGCCTCCTGGAACCACCCTGCCTCATCATTGACGTCGGCAGGCCTATCCGGTGATGACACCCAGGCCTGCACGATCGAGGCTTCCAGGAGGAGCTCCCGGTCCAGCTGCTTCAGCGCCCAACGCGGACCACTCGGGGCCTGTTGGACTGGCGCGCTCGAGGGCTGGGTGGAGACGTCAAACCGGATGTACCGGTGGTCGGAGTAGGTCTCCACCCCCTCCATGACTCGCCAGTCAATGGCACGCGGCGACAGAGCGGGGCTAGCGAACGAAATGTCCACCACCGACTCGCCCCGCATCCGCACACACGTGGGGACAGAACCCCGATTTAGGACGACCAGGCCTGTCTCCAGAGCCCAGTCTTCCACCATCCTACCCCGCACATCTGTACGACGAGAACCCCAAGCCAAGTTCTTGGCATTGAAGTCCCCGAGGACAAGCACGGGGAGGGGATAGCTTTCGACGACGACTGCTCTCAGCTCTGTAAGAGAGTTGTGGAGCTCGGCGAGAGATCGGTTCGGGGAGAAGTACACCCCCACAACGACGAACTCCCCGAACCGTGCTGCTACACACCCCTGACCCCTCCTGACACCTTCAAGGGTCGGGGTACCGGCGGCGGCCGAAGAAATGATGGCCACTGAGCCGTTAAGGTCCGCCACCCAGTCCTTCCTAGGCCAGACAAAATACGGCTCAGCGACCACAGCGATGTTAATCGACCACTGCGCCATGCTCTGGAGCAACAGATCCTGAGCGCAGGCGCAGTGGTTGATATTCGCCTGGAGGAAGCTTAATGGGGCCGTTATAGGCATTCCATTTCAGCTTCCTCCACGGAGCGCCCCTCTGCAGGCGTCGGTGTCGCGGCGGCGGCGGCGGCGACAGTGACAGCGGCGGCGGCGGCAGTTGCAGATGCGGCGGTGGCCATAGAGGCGGTGGCGGCGGAGGAGGGCCTTCCCCTACCCGCGGCCTTGGCCTTGGCGGGTGACACGCAGGCCCTGCTTCCGGCCCAGTGATCGGCTGGCTTGCCGGTCGCCGCACATGCATCACAGTGCGGCGTGACGCAGCAGGTCGCCGATATGTGTCCGGGCTGACAGCACGGAAGCAGAGGCCACTGCGGTCAACCTCCGAGGCGCATTTCACTGATACGTGATGCCCCACGAGACAGCGGTAGCACCTCAGAGGTCTGGGCTCCAGCAGCTTAACCTGCGCTGAGACCCAGCCCACCAGAAGCCTTCGGCCCTCCACTATGGTTTTGGCCGCCGTAACAGGGCAGCACACCGTGGCGGCATGCATACCCCGTTGATCCGGGCGTATGGCGCCTGACCTGATCTGGTCAGTAGTGCACCCCCCGGACCTGGCGACGGCGGCCACCAACTCCTCCTCCGATACCGAGTCGTCCACACCCATGATGCGCAGGTCTGCGCATCTAACGGGCCTGGACACTCGGGCCTCGTCCGCGTTCAGGGACGCTCTGAGCTTCGCAGCCAGAGCGTCTGCAGTCGCGCCACTGGATTCCCCGGGGATATCCAGCATACGGGCCCCCGTCTGGGTGACTTTGAGCCGGAGGCCCCCAGTGATCCCGAGCTCCCCGAGATCCACCGCCTCTTTCGCCTTCGCGAGCAGATCGCGGTAGGTAACGCCCTTCTTTTCCGCGTCCGGCTGTAGTGTAATCACTACAGCTGCGGTCTTCGGGGCGCGGAGCCTAGCCGCGATCTTGCGCGCCCTGAACTGGTGCTGCCGCTCCTGCTCTTTGGCCTTTTTGGCTGCCTTCTTCCCCTTCTTTTTGTCCCCGACCACCTGCCAACCGGCTTCTGCCGCGGGAGGTGTAGGGAGCTGAGGGGGCGGTGGCGGCGGCGGCAGCTGGCTTGCCGCTGGCGCTGGCCCATTCGCCGCAGGCACTGGGGCTGGCGCAGCCATCACCTGTGCTGCCGCCTTGCCCTTTTTCGCCTTCGCCTTGCCTCTCTTTCCCGTCGCCGGCTTAGCCGGAACCGGTTCAGCCGGTATCGGTTTTGCCGGAGCCGGCTTTTCAGGGGGGGGAGGGGCAACTGCAGCCCCACCCGAGGGCTGGCTGGACGGCCCCGGCCTGGATGCGGCAGCCGTGGCCGTCGCGTAAGAAGCCGTTGCCGGCCTCGCCGCCGTCTTGTTTGCCCCTAGGGGGGGGCGCAGGACGATGCCCTCCAGCACGGAGAACCGGTGCTGGAAGGCAGCCAGCTCCTGCCGGACCAGGTTCAGAACCTGGTTCTCCACCGGCACGGGCTGGCTTGGGCGCTGCGTCTGGGGCGCCGCGCGAGAGGCAGGCTCATATAGGCTGGCCAGGTCTGCGCGGAGCTTCTCATTCTCCTTCTGGAGAGTCTCCATGGCGGACGTCAGGCGGGCCACGTCCGCCCGCAGCTTCGCCACCTCGTCCGCATTAGGCCCAGCCCCAGCAAAGTTGGCCTCCGCAGCCGCCATGATGGAGGCGGAGGCCGCGGGAATGGCCTTGAATTTCGAGGAGGACTTTTGCTTAATGGCCACGACCTTGATCGCGGCCTCCACCTCCTTTACGAATCTGGCCTTACGCTCCACCTCGGAGCCGCCAGTCGCATCTGTTTCTTCGCCTGATTCCCGAGCCGTATCGTCCGGGTGGCGCCCCTCCTCGGCAAGCTTTGCCTCTTGTTCGGCCCTCTGATTTGTAGAGAGCTCCCTCCCCTTGCCTCTCAGCCCGCCCCGCCTGTTGGTGGGGATTTTCCGGGCCGAAACCTCCTCTTCACCGGATGCCGACCCCTGGTCGCCATCCCGCCTGGACCGCTTGCGGAAGAACTTGCTGGTCTCCGCGGTCCCAGGCTCCACTTGTCGGGAGCTCTCTGAGCCTCCCTCGCTGTTCGATGCGGCGTCGGACTCTGTCCCCGCATCGTTTCTCCTCTCCTCTACGTTGCCGTTGCCGGCGGTTTTTGTTTTTTGTTTGTCTTTTTTTTCCATTTTTATACCCACGAGTATGGGGGAATTAAAAGTCCACCTTGGCAGAGACCCCTTACCAAGGTAAGCAGATTTAAATGATTTATTACTCGCCAGGGGGTCTGCAGGTACCCTGGCGAGGAGCGCACTCACGACTGATTTGTTCATAGAACCCCGTCAGCCATCCATCCCCTCGCGGTGCGTCGCCGCTTGAGATTCGGGGTAACTTTTTATAGAGGTTTTCTCCCTCGCGGTCCGGGCGGTTAAGCCAAGACCCTCGGTCCCTATCAAAGCCGCGAGACGTGATCCACGACACTTCGATACTGGGATTACGAGACCGGCGGTGACAGCAAAGGATGAATCCTTCACTGTCTGCCCGGAGGCAGGGTAAGTGCACACCGAGCCCGCCCTCACTCCTCTGCTATGCCCTCTGCTGATCAGAGGGTCACGCAGTGGAACGCACCGTTGGTCCGGAACGGACCCCCCCCCCCATGTCAGAATAATTAGCCGCGGCAGTACCATTCACCAAGGAGTAAGAATTTCTTCTCATTTCTCGAGGAAGATTACTGCCGCGCCCAGGGTGCACCGGCCCAGTATCTGCTCTTCCCTCCAGACGTATCGAGAGGGACCCGCAACTACCAGGCACACGTGGAGGACTTCTGACTTCGCACCCCGATGAGATGTTTACCTGAAAGCTGCTTTTTACAAACGGCGTTAAGTCTTCTCTTGTATTCCGTAGTTAGTGTACTTTTTATTCGTACGTGGTCAAAACCTTTAAGTTGCACATACCCTTAATATTTATACTAGTCAGTCGGTTCCATTGCTGTAATAATATCCGTGTCATTCACTACATAGTCGCCGGGCCTTACTTTGCCTCTTACGGTGTGAAGTGTTTTACATTTATCCAAACCAAATTGCATATTAATATTGTTACTAAATTCTGCTGTAATATCTACTAATTTCTTCATATCTTTTTCTGTTTCCGCGTATAATTTGATGTCGTCCATGTATATAAGATGCGATATTGTTGTTTCGTCTGTATTATTTTTTAGACTATATCCTGCCTTACAGCTCTGCAGCAAATTATTATTATTATTTTTATTATTATTATTAGGTATTTATTTTATTCATACCAAGTAAATACAACTTATACAGTCTTATTTGGTTAAATTCCGTGATTCAAGCCAGGTAAGTGGCTAAAGAAAAGTATCGATATCCGTTGTTCAAGCAAAGTCGTAATTTATAAAAACTTATCGCATAACAAACCAACTGCACAGTGCACTTAGATTCCGAAAACATTTGCAAAAATGTATTTTTTGTTTTTTTTTCAAACGAAACCAAAACGATCGCACACCTGACGTCTATTTATTTTTAGTTTTGACGCGTTGTCATTAATTTGTCAACGTTATTGTCTTTTTTTGCGTGGCACAATGCTGATTTGCCAAGGAGAGTAAAATAGTATTGTTATTTTAAATGAAAATAGGTGATTTCACTGTACTCCAGTTCCTTGTGGCATATATTAATCTCATTTATATTTTAAAATATAAACGTTTTCGTAATATATATGAGGTTATGACAACTTTTGAAATATGAGTGTGAAGGTATTGTGTGATTGGCCAAATCACAGGAGGCCATAAACGCAGTACATTAGTATTAAAAACTAGGTACAAATTTCAAAATCGAAAAAGTCCTTTTTATTTTGATTTCACAATTCATAAGTGTCCGTTACTATCTAAGGACTGTTATCTAATCTATACATCTATACAAATAAATAAAATTGAAGTGTCTGTTTGTAATGTCAAAATTACAGTTTTTTACTAAATGCATATGAAAGTAAATACGATACCTATAACTAAAATACAATTTTTAAAATTTTGTCTGTCTGTCTGTCTGTCTGTCTGTCTGTTTGTTCCGGGTAATCTCCGAAACGGCTGGACCGATTTTGACGGGACTTTCACTGGCAGATAGCTGATTTCATAAGGAGTAAAATAGGCCACTTTTATTTTAGAAAAAGAATCAGAGTTCCGCGCAGAAACATAAAAACACTAACACGCGAACGAAGTCGCGGGGAACAGCTAGTGCATAAATAAGGATAAGAATTTTGGTAATTGTCAAATATCTGTTGGTTCTTAGGCGAGTTTAGACATTGTCCTTTCGTCGAAATACCTATACCATACGACCATCCCACTTTACATTATAATGATATTAAGTATACTATTACTTACAAGCGTTACTAGTACTAACAAATAAATACATAGTTTGAGCCAGTTATACTTTTTTTCGTGGTAGAGCCATGCTGCAGCTATATTAATTGTATAGTTGTAGCACGAATGGGTCGGCTCGACCGGGGAAGGACCACGCTCTCACAGAATACCAGCGTAAAATAGCAGCTTAATGCTGCTGTGTTTCGTATGGTGAGTGTAGAGAACTGGAGACCCTTTTTACTGGAAAAGAGGCATTCCATCTTAGTCCTCACGGGTGACAACGCATCTGCATTTTGATTTGCAAAAGAAGATAGATGTAGATGTCTATGGGCCGCAGCAACCACTTATCATCAGGTGGACTGTGTGCTCGTTTGTCAACCTATCCTATAAAAAAAAAGATGCATATACATACGTGAGTGTGTGTTCTTACAATAAGTTGCGCATGGTTTTGGCGTTACGGACTATTGCAGTGCACTATAAAAGCATCGCAACTCCCGTCCAAAGAAGACATCTACGCGAAACCTGGAAAATCTGAACCACAGAAGACAGCAATATTTCATCATCTCAAGACTCAGAAATAGTTGCTGTTCTCAGGGGGGAGGTGTTATATATATTAAAACCGCGAACTACGCGACTATCTCATTTTCCCACACAACATTTCAACATTGCTTCCACGAGGAAGTTTTGCTGACTTGATGGGAAACTCAGTCGCCGTGGACTCACTATGACGCACGCGATGTCAACCGACATAGCACCTTTATAAGGAACCTAATGCAGCGAGGCAATTCTGGTGACGTGGATTCACAGTGACGCCCGCGGCGTCATTCGACAGCATTATATATACGGAATTCCACGATTCCACTTCACTTCGTTCCTAACATCGGACGGGGTGTAGGTTTAATTAGATTTAATTAGTATTAGTTCTTTTAATACTAAACTTCGTTTCTAACATCGGGCGGTGTGTAGATTTAATGAGTAGTAGTTATTTTATTTGTAATATCTTTTAAATTAAAGTTCGTAAAAGTATTTTTTTTTTGGGTCCTCCGGCGGCGACATCCATAATTCACATAATATCTCGACGAGAAATGTTTGATAACACTAAGCTTAAAGCGAAAAATCCATAAATGATAAAAAATGTTCATATTTCGTGGCAGATTTCGCGGAAACTTTAAGTGATATCGCTTTTGTATGTAGAAGAAGTAGATAGCAAATTTATTAAGGATCATTTCTTACCTGTGCTTTCTTACCGGTGCACCTTTTTTATGTATCGTGTAATGTTTTCTTTAAAACGGGAAAAAAACCGCAATTCAGGACAATTTTTAGGGCACGGGGAGTGACTTTCACTCGAGAGGGGAAGGTTGAATGGACAAAATGTAACTTTGCTATACGTATACGTATGCTGATAGACAAATGTAATCTATTAATTTTGTGATTTTTTAGCTAAAATACAAATATTTATATTTTGCTGAATGGCAAATCAATTAAATATTCGAAACAACATAGTAACAATGATAGTAACTTTAGAAATTACTTATACGTTTTATGAACATATTCTATTATTTACTTTATTTATATACATAAAACTTGGCGGTGAAGTGGGAATTGTTCGAGATAACCAAAATTTGAGCAATAAAAATCTATAAATTATAAAAAATACATATTTTGTGGTAGATTGCGCGGAAACTATAAATGATGTTGCTTTTGTGTGTACAAAAGGTTAATTGCAAATTTATCAAGTCATTTCGTACCTACACGCTTTCCATGTATCGTGTATGGTTTCCTATGAAACTGAAAAAAACCGCTCTTCGGGACATTTTCTTGGCGCGCGTGGGGGAGGGGGGAGGGGGAGTAACGCTCACCCGGGAGGGGAAGGGAGAGTAGATTAAATTTAACTTCGCTCTATATTAACGTACGTATAATGTACATTTGCCAATAAATATGAATCTCCTTTAATTTTGCCAATTTTTCCATACATTGCTATCTAAAATACTTGAACTAGGTGTCATGTCATGTTCCGCAGCGCAGATGCACGGAATTTGCGGGTAAAACCGCGGGGCACAGCAAGTAACAGAACATTTAACGCTCCAGTTCGTATTAATTTGAATAATCTAATTTAGTTAGCTCTTATATACAGTTGCCTAATTGTTAGGGCTTTGTTCAACTACAGTTGTAAGACAGAAGGGGGAGGAAACGCCTATCTTGAATTACGATGACAAAATC